TCTCTTCTACTTCTGTTAGGTCATTACTGTTTCTGTCCTTTATCATGCCTTTTTCTGTTTTGTGAATAATTTGTATCATGTTTTAAGATTCTGCATGTTTGTTGTTCTCTTTCTGACATACTTCACTTACTATGATAATCTCCATGTCCATCCACGTTGCTGCAAATGACATTATCTCACTGTAATGGCTGAATAATATTCCGCTGTATACATGTACCACCTCTTGTTTCTGCATTTCTCTGTCAGTGGACATTTAGGTTGCGTCCATATGTTGGCTATTATAAACAGCACTGCAACGCACATTGGAGTGCATGGATTCCTTTGAAAGGATGTTTTTCTCTGGATATATGCCCAGGAGTGGGCTTGTGGATCATATGGTGGTTATGTTTTCTAGAAAATATTTATTTATTTATTTGGCCATGTCAGATCTTTCCAGAGTACATGGGCTCTTCGTCATAGCACAGGCTTCTCTCTACTTGTGGTCTGAGCTTAGTTGCCCCATAACATATAGGCTATAGTCCATCGGGTTGCAAAAGTGCCTGACATGACTTAGAGATTAAACAACAACAACAGCAATGTGGGATCTTAGTTCTCTGACCCTGGATGGAACCTGAGTCCCCTGCATTGGAAGGCAGATTCTTAACCAATGGACAACCACACAAGTCCTTATTTTTTAGTTTCTTGAGAGACCTCCATAACTGCTCTCTATAGTGTTTGTACCAATTTACATTCATACTGACAGTGAAGGAGGGTTTCCTTTTCTCCACACCCTCTTCAGCATTTATTGTTTGTAGATTTTTTGATGATGGCCCTTCTGACTGATGTGAAGTGATATCTCCTTGTAGTTTTAATTTGTATTTTTCTAATAATACCTTTTCTAATAATTAATGCCTATTAGAAATCATTACTTTCTAATAATTAATTTTTCTAAAATTAATGTTTTTAATGTTGAGCATCTTTTGGTGTGCTTCTTGTTCATCTGTGTGTGAGTCTGTGTGCATACTCAGTCATGTCCGACTCTTTGTGACCCTATGGACTGTAGTCCAAAGTCCACCAGTCTCCTCTTCCATGGTATTCTCTAGGCAAGAATACTGGAGTAGATTGCTATTCCCTTCTTCAGGGAATCTTCTTGATCTAGGGATTGAACCAGTGTCTCCTGCCTTGCAGGCAGATTCTTTACTGCTGAGCCACCGGGGAAGTCCTCTTGGCCATCTGTATGTCTTCTTTAGAGAAATGTCTATTTAGGTCTTCTGCTCACTTTTTTGATTGGATTGCTTGTCACAGATTGGGAATCTGAGATTGACGTGTACACACTACTATATTTAAAATAGATAACCAATATGGACCTACTATATAGCACAGGGAATACTGCTTCAATTCAGTTCATTTCAGTTGCTCAGTCATCTCTGACTCTTTGCAACCCAAGAACTGCAGCACGCCAGGCCTCCCTGTCCAACACCAACTCCCAGAGTCTACCCAAGCCCATGTCCATTGAGTCGGTGATGCCATCCAACCATCTCAACCTCTGTCATCCCTTTCTCCTGCCTTCAATCTTTCCCAGCATCAGGGTCTTTTCCAATGAGTCAGATCCTCACATCAGGTGGCCAAAGTATTGGAGTTTCAGCTTCAACATCAGCCCTTCCAATGAACACCCAGGATTGATCTCCTTTAGGATGGACTGGCTGGATCTCCTTACAGTCCAAGGGACTCTCAAGAGTCTTCTTCAACACCACAGTTCAGAAGCATCAATTCTTCAGCTCTCAGCTTTCTTTATAGTCCAACTTTCACATCCATACATGACCACTGGGAAAAAACCATAGCCTTGATTAGACAGATCTTTGCTGGCAAAGCAATATCTCTGCTTTTTATTATGCTATCTAGGTTGGTCATAACTTTCCTTCCAAGGAGTAAGTGTCTTTTAATTTCATGGTTGCAGTCACCATCTGCTGTGATTTTGGAGCCCAGAAAAATAAAATCAGCCACTGTTTCCACTATTTCCACATCTATTTGCCATGAAGTGATGGGACTGGATGCCATGATCTTAGTTTTCTGAATGCTGAGCTTTACGCCAACATTTTCACTCCCCTCTTTCACTTTCATCAAGAGGCTTTTTAGTTCCTCTTCACTTTTTGCCATAAGGGTGGTGTCATTTGCATATCTGAGGTTATTGATATTTCCTCCAGCAATCTTGATTCCAGCTTGTGCTTCCTCCAGCCTAGCGTTTCTCATGATGTACTCTGCATATAAGTTAAATAAGTAGGGTGACAATATACAGCCTTGACATACCCCTTTTCCTATTTTGGACCAGTCTGTTGGTCCATGTTCAGTTCTAACTGGTGCTTCCTGACCTGCATACATGTTTCTCAAGAGGCAGGTCAGGTGGTCTGTTATTCCCATCTCTTTTAGAATTTTCCACAGTTTATTGTGATCCCACACAGTCAAAGGCTTTGGCATAGTCAGTAAAGTAGAAATAGATGTTTTTTTTTGTGAAACTCCCTTGCTTTTTCGATGATCCAGCAGATGTTGGCAATTTGATCTTTGGTCCTCTGCCTTTTCAAAAACCAGCTTGAACATCTGGAAGTTCACGGTTCACATTATTGCTGAATCCTGGCTTGGAGAATTTTGAGCATTACTTTACTAGCATGTGAGATGAGTGCAATTCTGTGGTAGTTTGAGCATTCTTTTACATTGCCTTTCTTTGGGACTGGAATGAAAACTGACCTTTTCCAGTCCTGTGGCCACTGCTGAGTTTTCCAAATTTGCTGGCATAGTTAGTGCAGCACTTTCACAGCATCATCTTTTAGGATTTGAAATAGCTCAACTGGATTTCCATCACCTCCACTAGCTTTGTTCGTCGTGATGCTTCCTAAGGCCCACTTGACTTCACATTCCAGGATGTCCGGCTCTAGGTGAGTGTGAGTGATCACACCATCGTGATTATCTGGGTTGTGAAGATCTTTTTTGCACAGTTCTTCTGTGTATTCTTGCCACCTCTTAATATCTTCTGCTTCTGTTAGGTCCATACCATTTCTGTCCTTTATTGACCCCATCTTTTCATGAAATGTTCCCTTGGTATCTCTAATGTCCTGTAATAACCTAAATGAGAAAATTATTTGAAAAATAATAGATACATATATAACTGAATCCCTTTACTGTATACCTAAAACTGACAAAATTTTTAATCAACTATATTCCAATATAAAATTAAAGAAATTTCAAAAGTGTCTATATAAAGTATCTTTCTGTAATTTTTAAACCTTGGTTTAACCAACATTCATCTATTTGACCAAAAGATTGAACCAATAATTTTAAATTTCTACTTAAAACACTGTTCAAATTTACAGACAGCTATTTTATGCAGGTACAGTGCAAATTATTATAAAATTTATTAAAAGAATTAGACTGCTAAATTTTACTTTCTGTGAGTGGAGTTTTAAGAAGGGAGTGGGGTACAGAAACAACTACCCTTTTCAAATAATTCACAAATGTGCTAATTATTTGGCTGATATGAAATTTGAGGCATTATGACCTTCAAGCTAACAAAAGACCTTTTCAAGTAAGCCATTTCCATGTACATTAATAAAGTGATCAATGCCATTCCACAGTTAAATAATGTATGGCTGTTATTTCATTATATGTAAATGCAAACCAAGGAGTTGTTTCACTGCCAACATATTTAAAGTAATACTATTTAAAAAAAAAGCAAAGGCTGTAAATCCATGTAAGTAACAGTTTTTGGTATTTTCTACAGATAGTCATCCAAAGATATGTTTGTTGTTCACTTCCAACACATGCAGTTTAAGTGAAGTTTCTCTGTAACTGATTGGATTTTGGATTTGATCAGTAAACACTGCCTTGTGTTAAAGTATATAGTAACTGAGACATGAGGAAAATGATTGTTAGGAAAGCGATCTCCTTGCAGTGATGGAGGCAATGATATATTTTGTAGATCTAAGAAAACATTGCCTCTGTACATGAACACTCACCTGCTAGCAAGAGAAATGTTGAATAAGGCTGAAGTTCAAAGGAAAAGCAAGGAATTCCACAATCTTTCTCATGACTTATTCATGGTATAAAGAAAATCTTTATGAACGCTGGACTTAGGTCATCACCATGAAGGCAGTTATTTAAAAGGGCACTTATATTCCTGGAAAACAATGTGTTTCAAAACAATAATGTATAAAAAAATATGGATATTACTAAGGACATGAATCAAATTGACTGCTGGAATGTCAAATAGTGCCTATGAAGTTGTAGTAGAAAATCAAGAACAGGAAGAAAAATTCAATTATCTTGTATTTGCCCAGCTTTGTAGCATACTTGATGCTGAATAAAACATGAACAAAGATGCAGTCATGCTTAATGCAACTTAAGAATGCATAATAGACTTCTGGAAAATAATAAACCAATTACAAACTTAAACTACAATCATATAAGAGTTCAAGAATTTTTTAGCATTCAATCCATAGATGAACTTTTTTTCAGTCTCATAAGAAACCATGAAAAGTGAAAGTGAAATTGCTCAGTTGTGTCAACTCTTTGTGACCCCATGGACTGGCTCCTCCGTCCATGGGATTCTCCAGGCAAGAATACTGGAGTGAGTTGCCATTTCCTTCTCCAGAGGATCTTCCTGACCCAGGGATCGAACCCAGGTCTCCCACATTGGAAGCAGAAGATTTTAACCTCTTAGCCACCAGGGAAGCCCTTAAGAAACCATAACAGCATCTTATTATGGGTTAGATATTGATACCAAGAGACTGAACAGGGATTGCAAATTCGTTCACCAGTCTTCCTTTTGGCTTTAAACGCTACCTTATGGCCCTTTGTTGTTATTTAATAGAATCTATGAATGCTTCCATAAAGTAGATACCAGTGACATTTATGAAAACGCTGTTGTCACTGAAATTTCCAGTGAACACTTAAACGCTCTTGTCTGTGATAACAGATGTTTCTGCATTTCCTTGATAATCTGAGATAATTTCCATTATTTTGTATTTAAGGTGGCAAATCTTGCTTGTTCCATGTCAACAAATGAAGATGGGATTAAGATTGTCAGAGTTGCTGCCAATCACCTGGAAACATTGTGTCCACAGGTATGATAACTGTCTTTCATTAAATTAGCTATAAAAAATTATGTGTAATGCTTCAGACTTTCATACATATGGAAACATATTAAAATATATATTTTAAAAACATAAAATGACTCATTCTAAGGTCATAGTTTACACTTTACTAAGCACTTCATTCTTTATTTAACGCATGGTTCTTGTAACAGTTCCTGAGAGACCATCTTAGAATTTTGTGAAAGATATAGTTCGAAATCAAAGCAGTGTTTTGTCCAACAGATCTGATTTATTTGTAGTCATTATTTAATTTGACATCTCAAATCATATGAAAAGAATGCTTTTTTTCCTCTTTTATCAAAAGAAGGCATGAGTTTGAAAAAAGCCAAGAAATAGTGTCTTGTCTGGAATTCAGGAGTTTTTTAAAATCCAAAGAGAAGCATATTGCTTAGGAGTTATTTCTAGATGAATAATTGTCTCAAAACTGTAATTCAGGATACACAGGAAAAGGGGATGACAGAGAATGAGATGGTTGGATGGCATCACCGACTCAATGGGCATGAGTTTGAGTAAACTCTGGGAGTTGGTGATGGATGGGGAGGCCTGGCGTGCTGCAGTCCATGGGTCACAAAGAGTCAGACACGACTGAGCGACTGAACAGAACTGAGGATACACATAAGGTCAATCCTTTCTTGCCTTGGAATAAGCAGCAAGTGATGTAGATAATTACTTCCCAATTAAAACCACAAATGTTGTAAAGATGTGAAATATAATAATGATTAGAAATTTCAAGTCTCTGGACTTCTGCTGGAATTCTAATTTTACTAAAAGCAGAATGTGTGTTAAATTCTTCGCTTGCTTTGCCAATGATTTCATCTGTAAGAATATTTAGGAAATAATAAGGTGACTGCTTCTTTAGACTTAATGCTGATTAACAAGTGAAAACTGGCTGAAGTACAATCTAGAGGCCAGCAACTGAGATCTCATAACTGAGGTCAGTTCTCTATGAGGTCCCATAGGGAACAGAACTGTACAGTTAGGTCTCTGAAGTGGCTGATCACTTACATTCTCCTCAGTAGTTTGAGTTTTCGTTTCTGCATATTGTAGATAGCATTTGATGTTGTCACTGTTGAAATGTCTTTTGAATCTGAATAGTATTCAGTATATCTCATTGGTTTCAATTTATACTTTTATGATTACTCAATAAAACACTTAAAAAAGCAGTTATTAACCCATTTGGCTTTCAAAGTCTGTGAATTGCTTAAACCCTTTGATGATTTTTAGTTGCTTGTTTTATTGTACTGCTTAGGTTTATTAAAAATATCTTCTGTTGACTGTGGCTTTTCCTTTAACTTTGAAAATAATATTTTAATCCTAAAGTATTTTAAGACCTATAACATGAACATATGATTCATCTTTTAATTTTTTACTTAGACATTTGAGCACCTATTCTGTGCCATGGTATGTTGGTTTGTGCTTTGTCAAGAAATTCTTCCAACAAAAGTGTTACATAGTCCCCATATTTTCTTTTTAAAATAGTAAATACTCTTACTTAACATTTAAATCTTTATATTATCTGCAATTTATTTTTATGGCTAACAGGAGGTTGAATATATTTTTTTAAACAGTGGTAACCACTGGGCTATCATCCTGTATTAAAAAGTTGATCCTTTACCAATTATACTTTATTTTTTAGATTCCATATATAAGTGAAATCATGTGATGTTTACCTTACTCTGTTTGACTTATCTTATTTAGCATATTCTTTCTAGGTCTATCAATGTTGTTATAGTGGCAAGATTTAATTAACTTTTTTATGGCTGAGTAATATTCCATTGTGTTTGTGTTGTATGTATGTGTGTACCATATCTTCTTTATTTACTCATTTATTGATGAAACACTTAGACTACTTTAAAATCTTTGCTATTATAAATAATGCTGTGATGAACATAGGGATGCCTATATCTTTTTATTTTTTTAAATTTTTTAAATTAAAAAAAATTTTTTTTGGCTGCACTGTGGCTTTTGGGATTTTACTTCCTGAACCAGGGACTGAACCCATGCCCTCAGCAGTGAAAGAGTGGAGTCCTAACCACTGGACACCAGGGAATTCTCACATATATCTTTTTAAACCAATGTTTTTGTTTTCTTTGGATAAAATCCCAGAAGTGGAATTGCTGGATCATATGGTAGTTCTATTTTTAATTTTTTGAGGAACCCCCTACTGTTTTTCATAGGGGCTATACCAATTTACATTCTCACAAAAAATGTATAAGGGGTCCCTTTTCTGTACGTCCTTGCCTACACTTGTTATTACAACAGGTGTAAAGTGATAGCTCATGGCTTCAATTTCCATTTCCCTGATGATTAGTGATACTGAGCATCTTTTCATGTGCCTGTTGGCCATCTGCATACTTCTTTGAAAAAATGTCTATTCAGGTTTTTTACCTATTTTTAATTGGATTGTTTCTTTTTTTTTTTTTGATGTTGAGTCTTATGAGTTCTTTGTATGTTTTAGATGTTAAGCCCTTAGTGAGTATTTTGTTTGCAAGTATCCTCTCTCATTTGATATGTGGCTTTTTATTTTGTTGATAGTTTCCCTCACTGTGCAAAAGCTTTTTAAGTTTGATGTAGTCTCATTTGTTTATCTTTGGTTTTGTTTTCTTTACCTGAGAATACATATCCCCAGAATATTGCTAAGACTAATGTCAAAGAGCATCCTGCCTACATTTTTTTCCTAGAAGTTTTATGGTTTGGGTCTTACATGTAAGTCTTCAATCCATTTTGAATTTATATATGGTATAAGAAAATAGTCCAGCTTCATTCTTTTGCAAGTAGCTGTCCAGTTTTCCCAATACAACTTATTAAAGAGGGTATACTTCTCCACATTGCATATTCTTGCCCTTCCTCTTGTAGATTAATTGCCACATAAGTGTAATTTTTTTTCTGGGCTCTTTTCTATGTTCCACTGACTTATGTGTCTGTTTTTGTATATTTTTGTATGTTGTATGTTTGTAAGTTTTGTCTGTTTTTGTTCTGTACTGTTTTGATTACTGTGTTTTGTAATATAGTTTGAAATCAGGAAGAATGATGCCTCTGGCTTAGTTCTTTCTCAAGATTATGTTTGTTATTTGGACTCTTTTGTGTTTCCATACAAATGAATTGTTTGTTCTACTTTTGTGAAAAATGCCACTGGTATTTTGGTATTAATTATGTTGAATCTGTAGATTGCCTTGGGGAATATGGTCACTTTATCAACACTAATAATTCTTCCAATCTGAGGACATTATATATAAAGATATTGGAGAGGCATCTCTTTGTATCTCCTACAATTCCTTTATCAGTATTTTGTAGTTTTCCTAATAAAAGTCTTATCTCCTTAAATTTATTTCTAAATATTTTATACTTTGTCATGCAATCATAAATTGGATTATTTTCTTAATTTCTCTTTCTAGTTTGCTGTTAGTGCATAGAAGCACAACTGATTTATGTATATTAATTTTATATCCTGAAACTTTATTGAATTCACTGATGAGTTAATTTTTTGTAGCATCTTTAGGATTCTCCATATATTGGATCTTATTGTCTGTGAACTATGGCAGTTTTACTTCTTGCCTTAAAATTTAGACTCCTTTCATTTCTTTTTCCTGTCTGAATGCTGTGTCTATTACTTCCAAACTATGTTTAATAAAAATGGCAAGAGTGTGTATCCTTATTCTTGATCTTAGAGGAAGTGTTTTTAGCTTTTCATATATTGTATATGATGTTGACTGTGAGTTTTTCATATATGGCCTTTATTATTTTGAGGTGTATTGCATCTATACCCACTTTTTTGAATTTTTTAAATCATGAATGTTGAATTTTGTCAAAAATTTTGCTACATCTACTGAGATGATCATATGATTTTTACTGTTGAGTTTGTTAATGTGGTATATCACATTGATTGTTTGAAAATACTGAACCATCTTTCATCCCTGGGATAAATCCTACTTGCTCACAGTATATGATCCTTTTAATGTATTGTTGAATTTGGTTTGCTAATGTTTAGTCGAGGATTTTTGCATCTACGTTCATCAATGGCATTAGCCTATAATTTTTGTGTGCATGTATTATATCTTTGGTTTTGGTGTCAGGGAGAGTTACAGTCTTAATTGTGACTTTTGGTTACATCTTGATATCTTCTAATCAATTTTAGGTGCCTTGTTTCTTTCTTTAAAGTATTACTTTTCTGCTCTGCTCTTTTATGTAACTTTAAGTATCCACTTACAAGGTTCTATAAAAATACATATTAGATGTTTTTATTGAAATTGTTAAAATGTTTTAGATTTTAGATTATTTTAGGGAAAAGTGACTCCTTCAAGATATTAAATATTTCCATTAACAAATATGTTTTATATATCCCCATAATCAGATATTTTTAAAAATGCCCTTCAGAGACTCTTTAATATTCCTTTTATTATTAATTACAATAAAGTTCATTGTTATATTTTGATGGCATCCCAATTTTTCTCAATAGGCCAGAAATCTTTCCTAAAGACCAGGCTCAAATATTTAATTTTCCCTTTACATCTCCATATTTATACCTAGAAGACATATAAAACTTAAAATAGCCAAATGGAACTCCTAATAGTTGCACCCCCACTTCATTTTGCTTTTCTTCAGTCTTACTGATTTTAGTTAACAGCATGGCCTTTCACCTCATTTCTATGAGGAAAAACCTAGAGATTTTCTTTTTTTTAATGCAGTAAATATTGATTGAACATATGCTATGTGGTAGGTATCATTTATGCAGCTGGGGAGTAAACAGTAAAGAAAATAAATTAGATAAAACTCTTGTCCTAGTGAAACTCATATTTTAATTATATCTAATGGCTAGTTTTCCTATTTTATCCATTAACAAGCCATATAAATTTCACCAAAAATATTTGTCTTGGATCTATATACTTTCCTTCAAGTATATAGATGTTTCCTTCAAACATCCTTGTTTGTCAACAGGATGAAAAATATCATAGTCTGTGCCTCATCATTTC